AAAAAAAAAGACGAAAAGCGAGTAACAAAAAAGAAAAGAATCAGACAACCTGCATCTCGGGCTGCCCAGATAACTAACACCAATATATCTGCGGCTGAAGCGGACGCCCCCAGCAAAAAGGCCTTAAAGGCCCTTGCACGTACCCGTCGACGGTTATCAAAAAGCAACACACCCACACACATACCCACACACATACCCACACACACATTTTGCCCAAGAAAGAGCTCGCCGCATGCATTTGATAGTGAAACAGTTAGCAAGTATTTCCTTTGGCCCCCGAAAGTATATGTGCTTTGATATGCTTAAAAAACTCTGCTACTATGTATGCTCCTGTTCGCCTCCAGGACTTGCTAGGGATCGAGTCCGTCGGTGGGACGAATGTTGGAGAAACCCGATCCTAAGTGCAGGCATTGCGAATGGCGCCACCAGGTACTTACTAGGCGTACCTCAACGTTATCAATGCCTGCTCGATCTAATACTCTGATCCTTAACCCAGTCTTTTAGCATAAGTGGTTTTTTCTACGGATGCGATACGGCCGTTTCCTATTTAACATGGAATACCACCCTTTATTCAAAATACCACAGGAGATCCTAGGGCACGGAGGAAGGGCAAGATTCAACATCTCCTTTGGCCCCCTTCTCCGTCCCAGGAAGTCTATCTAATGTTACATGTATCCCTGTCCTTTGGACCTTTGACTACTAAGTCCTCATGTAGCTAGAATAGAAGCCACCCCTAAGGCATTTCCCGAACATTCAAGCTTTACCTTCGATAGACATTCTATATGATACCGGCCACAAGGTTCCTGGTTTCCCAAGCGCAACAGGAGCACGGATCCGGACCCGTGTTCTATGCAAGGTAGCGCGGGACTAGAGAAGGCTAGAAGCTAGTTATACTGCAAACTTGTAGTAGCAGTCGTAGTGGGTTAATTTGTTCACTAAGATAGACGGGAGACAAAAATATGCGGGCTTGCATCCCACATAACGCCATCTTTTGTGGAATTCAAAAGTTTAAGTTGGATTTTAGATTCGGCTTTTGGCGAATATAAACTAAAGTAGTAGATCAACTAACGTAGCTAGTAGCTAGCCGTGCCGGTACTTTGATACTTACAATCCAGTCCCATGATGCCCATTTCCCATATCGTAATGCAACCCCCCTACTTCCAAGTTAGCTCCTCCTCCTCCTCTTCCTTCTCACCCTCCTCCTGACTTCAATCACCCTCATGGAAGGCTAAAAAGGCTATATCTCGCCATTTCCACGCTAACCTGGAGGCAAATCTATTGCCCCCCCCCTTCCAAAAAGGAACGCCTCATTTTGATACCATTCTTACATTTGCCCATCAATATCGTCTATTAGAGTAAGAGTTCGAATAAAATCCACAAAAAATCTAAAACACGCATATACCTCAAACGT